CGTCTCGAGAAGGAGAGTAAATACTCTAGTAAACTCTTACATACTGGAGATTTGCCTAAACCGAGAAATAGTTATGAAATGTCAATTGAGTTTCAGGTATGAAAGCAACGATTGGTTACAAAGTAAAGTCAATTTACAATATTAATATCGTTTTATTGCATAATAATTTAGTGACACAAACGCTCTTGTAATTTGCGGTTTATTTACTGTTTTACGAGTTTTAGTCAAAGAGTTCACTCCTCTTCCAATTATATATTAAATGTGTTGCACGTTTACTGTTAAATTTTTTTCCAAGGTAGTATATAATATAGTAATCATCATTTAAAATTTATGATACTGAATAAAATGCGTAACTACGTTCTGGCCTTATTGTCAATTTCAGTTGGTTTCGCGTTTTCATAACATTATTTTTATACCTGATATTACTAGTGTTGTAACTTAAAGGCTAGCCCAGCAAGAGTCTTTTAGATACCATTGCCCAACCAAAAAAAGAAAAAAGAAAAAAAAAGAAGAGAAGATACATTTATTAAAAATACGAAAGAAAACGATATAAATAAAAAAAGGGTACAAAGCGCACAATAACCCCCCACACACACACACACACAAAAGCGGGGTGGCGTTTGCTGTGTGGCAGAGGCATGGCCATTCTACAACGTTCGATCGCGGTGAAGAGCTGAGCAAGAATATCATGTGTCATTTGGGAAAAATCGTTTGAAATGCACATCCGGATGGGCCAATGAACCGTCGTCCAGTCGAATGTCGCTACACACATACTCGGAACATTCCAACAGCATGTATTAAATTATCTGCTGACCGTCTGCAAATTATTACGCCCCATTTGGAGTTGACAAAATCAAACGTGTATTGCGTCTTATTCGTGGTGTGTTGTTTGTAAATGGTCCATCATGTCAGATGCAATTGCACGGGCCTGTCTCGGTATTGGATGTTTATACTAAAATTGGATATTACAGTACTCGGAATTCTTGCATGTCGTGCTCTCAATTACGCTCGGAGAATGGAGGGGACTGCCGCTAGGCACTATTACTATGACACTGATATTCATATATATACGGATAGCCCACAAACAAGGAAATTTACACTGAAAATGTTTTTGCAAGCCTGTTACGGTATCCACTGAAGTGCAGTACATATCGATCAGTGTCATTGAAACATGCTTTCAAGAAACATACATCAGACCTCTTGGGAAGCATACACAAGATGTGGAATCTGGAAGTCTTTTTGTTAGTAATAATGGCCAGGTAGTATTGGAAGAACTTAGAAATGGTAATATTAGTATTTATACGTTGTCGTATTTAGTTATATATTACTATTAAAATATCTGATCACAAACGAGGAAATCGACATAAAATTTTTTAGACTTACACTCAGATGTGTTCCTACATATGACAACCAACGAGTGGAACTCGTGAAAAACTTAATCGAAAGGAATCACGGTCCTATTCTACAAATGTCAGTCATCAGTCACCCTCATTAGACGACGTGATTCATTCAGGCATGATTTATTGAAAATAGAAGGAACAATCGAGCTAGCATTCCCCGCCCTGTAATTGCAACTGAAGCCTTTTAACTAAACGTATGATGACCAACAAGAAAACAATTTGCTATTTTTTCTCATTCTACTTTAAAGTTTAAGCTATATTTCCTTTACTGCGTTTCGAATCTTTTAACCGAATACGTAATCAACTTGTAGGTGAGAGATTTGACATTGTTAAAAATTTGATCACGTCATATTCCACGAACGTCAGCCGCCAATCGGATAAACCGCCGCCACTCTAACCCCAACGTGTCGCTCGTTTCATTTCAGGCATGACAACGGCAAAAGTTTACCTATCTTCAAGAGAGCGTTTTCGACTGACGTGAAGAACAATACATTGTTAGTTCTCGATATTTTAAATAATGTACTCTCTAATAAAAATAAAGTAACTTCTAGTTCTAAATAAAGATTGTTGTTTGGCTTTACAACATTACAGTAAAAGTCTCGCCCAAACCTACAGTCGCTTATTACAATTCTAGATATAAATAAAAAATTTGTTATTTTGTTTAGATGATAAAGTTTTTATCATGCATGTACTACAGAACAAAAATTTTATTTATATTTTATACGTAATTTTGTGAGTAGTATTATTTTGATTATATAATGGGGGTAGTTTGAAATAATTTCGTAGCAGAGAATACGAAAGACTTACTCATTGTATCTAGTGAATGTGTCAATAACAGTCTCTCTTGCTGCACTTACCTTCCATAATTTGGTTAAAAAGTGTACAGCTCTGTTCTCACTTTCACACATTTATAAAGTATGCAGACATACCTGGAAAAAAATAATATTTTTTCTGTATCTCTTCTCTAATTATAATTACCGAAAGAGAAACTCACTTGTCCAACATGACATGCGAATAAAAAATATCGATATCACTTACTAAAAACAAAGGTAAATTTCTAAACTTTGCGGACGAATCATCATTCGGCGTCTATATAACCAAAATAACTCTGTTGGCCAATGAATAAATATAACTTTGTACGAACATTACACAATGATAAGTTACTGTTCGCTCAATATCAACCCTAACGTCAACAAAGAACTGCGGTGCTGACTGCGGAGACTGCGGCTACTGCGGATGCTGCATGCACATGTTTTTTGCCGTCCCGATATGTCGACAGTTTCTATAGTTATTAATACGAATCGTAAATGATATCAGAACAGCATTTTCACTAAAGAATCAAGTCCACAAATTTAATACATTATGCTCTTAGAATAGGTTGTTTAAAGGTAAATTGTTTATTTTATTATAATATTTAAGACGCGTCATTGCAAAGTGTTCAAAACGCTTTCTCTAGTCAGTAGCGATTAGGGTTGAGTTCCAACAAATTTTTGGTATAAGGATTATTATCTAATTTTTTAGTGCATAATGTAGTTCATATTCCCCAACCGAGGCTTTTAGTCTAGAAAAAATCGACGCAATGCTCGAAGTTAAATAATAATCCAGTAGAAGCGTATGAAAGACCAATATTTAAATTGTGAGTATAAATCGCAAATTAAACGTCACTAATGTCACGTAAGTTTTAGTGCCACTTGATTGATTTCGAAGATAAAAATTTATGTTTAATTTATCACTTGATGTGAGTTAATACTATTTGCAATAAATTAAAAGTTGTGGTGTGTAGTTACATAAGCCACATGCTACTAATGACTTGAAATGTTTGTTTTGGTAAAAGTACTCGTCTAATTTTTTTTACCAATATTTCAATTTATGAATTTTCTGCATGATAAAACATCGGGATCAAATTATTTCAGTAATTACTAGACCGTTCATAGTTTACGACAGAATTTGTCAGCGAGGGCAGTTTTTCTGAAAAAAATCGTGTTTAAAACAAATTTTCCGTGGGTCCCAATTCGCTAAAGATTTTCGAATTGAACTGCCCAATTCATATCCTGCAAGTTATTCAAATCTCGTCCAACGCTGCAAAAGGTAATTTTGTGACAACCAGACATTATCATTCGTGATGATAAATTTTTTATCCAGTGGATGTCAAAGTCTAAGAAATGCATGTCCTAAATTAGGAATTTGAGCAAGAAGACAATGGCAGGGAAACTGGTACCAATACCATCAGTCGCAACTTACAAAACCCCGTGAGTGGAAAATGTGGCAGGCTACGTTAGTGGTAGAGGTAAATGATTTGGACTATACCAAAAAATTTGTTTCGACATCAGGTGCGTTACTCGCAAAGATCTGGGTTTGGACAATCGTTTATCACATTCTCCAAAGTGCCATGCATTTTACAAGTTGGTAGAAAAGATCAAAAGTTGCGAGGGGACCAAATCAAGGCTTGCAAGGCGAATGAGGTGCATATAAACTTTTTTGGAATAGACCGTTGCCTTCCGGAAACAAATCCGATGTATGCAAGGATAGGTGTTTCATCCTTTATTATCTTTTCTCAACAAGTGACCGAGGTTCGTTACAGCATATTAATATTACATTTCGAATTTCTTTCCAACATTCTAAATTTCTTTTTGCTAATCCTTATTTGTCGGATTCTATGCGCCTTGACTTTTCCATAGACGCGCGTGGGGCTCCGCAGGATGCACGTGAACGTAGTGTAACGCGCACGGACAATCCACATGGAAATTTCGGTTCTTTTCAAGACAAAGCAAACAAAAAGTAGAACATTCTCTCTAACGATTCTTTACAATCCGTAACGAGCTTCTGACAGAAACGGTTAACAGAAAACTGCGTCATTGTTAGCTCATGAAGAGTCCCAATATTGTTTGATCTGCATTCGCATCTTGGCATTTGAATTGTATATAAAGAGATGCTGATTCTTTGCGTTCAAAGCATTGTATGATGGAGCAACAGAGACCTCTGGTAAGATATTTGTTACAGAATAGCAACGCAACGTTTTGTCTGAATATCCCCTCACTCATTATTATCGGCATGTAGGATGACTCCTTATTGATTCAACACTACAACGTGAGCGGCTCTCAATGGGTAGCAATAGCCCGCAAGACACGCACCAAGTCAGCTCATCAATGTGCTACACGGTAATGTATATAATAGCTGTTGCAAACCATTACTGCATCCTAGATATTGATATTTCATGTAAATACAGATGGTATAATGTACTACGCCCTGGAAGTATGTATTCTACATTCCCCCTCCAGATTTACATATGTTACAACTCCCTTTTTTCACTTTGCTACAACCTGTTACGCACATTCAAATGATAACCATACCGTTTTACAGTTAACAACGGACCGTTTACTGCTTTTGAACATGATCTAGTCAGACAACTGTACAAAGAGTATGGACCCAGATGGAAGAGAATTTGTTCGGCCGCTTTCCCTAATCGCACTCCAAGGATGATAAAAGACAGCTGGGAGGAGACACAGGCAGAGCTAAACCGCATTCGTGTGCAAATGTCGGTAGCGCGTCTACTAACCCCCGAAAAATAGTTGCTATGCCTGTTGCTTCGACTACCGAGGATGTGGTTGCTAGCCAGTTTGGATCGTCTTCAAGACGTAAACATTTAGTTGGACAGGGATAGGTTCGAGTTGGAAATACTCAGTTCGCTCTGAGAAAACTTTTTTCTTTCATTTGATGTTTTCTTTCACGTCAAATGCGTGAATAGAGTAACGTTTCTACGAACAGGAACTTTCACATACTGTATATGACTCTACGTCAAAATCTTGCCATACCACGATTATTACGTAAGCATAAGATCTCGATCGGGGGTTTATGTATTAATTATTATGCAAAATGTATTTTTAGAATAATACTTTATGATTGTGTGGACTCTATTATGATTTACAAAGAATATTATTATGTGTAATTCTAGAATGTGTATTTTTATGATCGTGTGGACTTCCACAGAATAAATATAAGTAACAGAAATCCCAATTCCACTTTCCTCGTATAAATAGGAAAGAACACATAAAATATGCACAATTTTATTGATACTATATTTAGTTTTCTTATTATAGACGTAGACTTGCATTTAACCGTATTCATTTTCCGATGTATTTAATTATATGGTGCATTGCATCGGCGAATACAGGCTATCCTAGAGATAATGAAATCGCCGTCATTAAATATAGTATATGGCATCTTGAAATGTAAGCACGTTTCAGAACGAAAGCATTAAAAATGGCGGAATGTTAGCAGAATGGAGATGAAGCAGAGACGCTACAAAGAGAAAGAAAAAAGAGTCTATTTCAGAGAGAGATGTTTGCCCGTATATAGAAAGACGAAATATGGTGTTTAAAAGAGCAAGTAGCTGGTCAGTTACAATAGTGACATTGCTGAGGCAACCATTTTGCATGATAAGGTAAGATAGTTGTCTCTTGATATAAGGAAATCATGAAGCGACGAAAGCATCCTCTGTCAGAAGAGACTCTCACCCTTTGACGATCACCAAAACTTGCAAAAGCCCTTAGCGTAAGAGATTTCAATGCCTTCTATGACGTTCAGCCGTATTAAGCCCATCCACCATCTGGGTAAACCATTTTCAATAAGGCATGGCGTACCGGCCGGCTAATCTTATTCACGTGCTGATCCTCACTGCATGTTGATCCCTTGACTGGGTAAATGAATTAAGTTGGTTATTGTGGGCTTTAATTGGTGTTCTATAACGTACTCATTGTGGTGCAAGCGAATGGCTTTAATAATTTCCCCCATTATCACTCCCACATCTCTCCCTTTTGTCTGCATTTGTGTGATGTGCATAACTTAACGCCCAATGTTATTGATCCAGTATCCCATGGCTTCACTTTTGCATATATAAGAAGTCGACATTGTCTTGTTCGGCATTGTTTTTGCTTTTGCTGTTCGGCTTCAAAGTAAGACTACCATGGAGAAATGGAGTTCTCTGGTAAGATGACAGCTGTACCATTATTCAACAAACTACAATAGCCGCAAAAACTCTTCCTAATACTTACATGGTTTTACTATCGCCCATTCCTACTCGATTATTCGTATGTAGGAAGACACTGCCTTGATTACTCTTTACCGTATGTACGGCCCCCAGTGGGTAACGGTCTCCCGTATCTTAGAGTCCAAGTCTGCGCATCAGTGTTCACATAGGTGAGCGTGTTGACAACGTTTCTACATGATATCCGTTGTATCCTACGTACTGACATGATAAATTACTACACTTTGATACAGGTGGCATAATGCACTGCGCCCTGGAAGTAAGTAACCCATTATTTCATGTCGTTTGCCATGCTTACTTAGGATAAATAATAAACGTACCTTTTCTTCCATTCCCCCTAGTCAACAAAGAGCCATTCACTACCTTCGAACATGATACAGTTAGTCAGCAATACCGTGTTCATGGCCCCAGGTGGGCGAGGATTTCTGCAAACCTTCCTGATCGCACTCGAGACATGGTAAAAGCTAGTCGGGAGGAGATGCAAGCGGAAGAAGAACGTATTCGAGTTCAAATGTTAATAGCTCGTCTACTAAACTGACCGTTTCACGATGGTAATCGGTTTTTTGTATACTATAAATATATATGCTATTCTATAAATAACATAAGCTCCACATACCCACAACCTATTTTGGTATTGTGTTACATAAACCTCTGTAATACGAAATAAGAAATAATTATAAGTAAACCGAGAGAGCTGACGTATTTGTACTACGAAACTATTGAATAAACTGAAAATGTGTGTGACTACCACAATGCTGTTTCCCTCTCCTCATTAACCTTCTAACCAAATTCTCGATCATATGCATTGACCCGGTTTTGTAAAAAAGGTCCCGATCTCGAGAATCGACCAAAGCTTTCTTGTATAATAGAGATCAAAATCAAGGTTGCTTTTTTTTTTTTCGCATGGTGCTATTAGTTACGCGATAGAAACGGCCCTACATAAATAAGTTAGGAATTCATCTCCTGAATGTTCTCAATGCCTAATATATGGAAGAAGTCAAACAAATATAATTGGTTATAAGGTTATCGATCAGGCAGAAGAAACAGCAGGACAGTACAACGAGCAAAAACCCTATTACGGATCCAGTCTATTTGCTTCCTACGACAATTATGATTATGTCAATTGAAGATCAACGATCATTACGTTCTTATTATATTGTCCATCCTTCCCAAAAGAAGACGAGGTTTAAGTCCTTGCTCATTGATAGCTAGGATTTTGGTCATTAACTGCTATCATGGGCTCTTGCCAATCATTCGTTCTTAGAAGAGTCTGCAGAATTATAATGGTCAGTTTCATGTATCCACGTCTAAAAATGGAATGGCCGTACATATTCGAATATAAGTTTTCTTACAACACAGGCTCATGTACTTTGCATCCGTACTTAATATCATGTATGTGATGCACTGTTTTAATATGACGAGCACAAAAATATCGTGTTAGATTACTTGTATTCATATAGCATTATTCTAACGATCCTCGTGGCCTACCAGGGCAATCTTTAGTCCAGCAAAATGTAATATATCTTCAGTGTTTGAAATAACGAAACTACGCCATCTGCTAACTCATGAACGGTTGATCTGCATTCGAATCTTGGCATACGATGAGGGTTGCATAGCCTTGCCGTTCACTTTCAAGGTATTGCTTTCAAAGCACGCCTATTTCCATAATAACGGAGAAAATGAAGCTCTCAAGTATGATGCATTGACGACGTTTTGCCGAAATACACTAAATACATTAAATGCTACTATTACTATCTATCTCCTTACCCTCATTATCGGTACGTAGGAAGACTCTGTCTTATTTGATCTCTACGACTTGCGGGGTCTCCAATGGATAACCGTTTCTCGTATCCTAGGCAAGCCAAGTCTGCTCTAAAAGGTGAATGTGTTGATGTGTTTTTGCACGATATCCGTTGTAGCCTACGTATTGAAATGATAAAATACTACGATACAGGGTGGTGGAATGTATTAGGTATGATTTACATATCGCTACAACTCTCTTCTTTCAACCGTTAGTCAGAATAGTACCTTTCTATCTAGTCAATGAAAATGATGCATCATGTCCACGGTCCCAGGCGGGACTAGAATCTTCCCTGATCGAACTGCAAATATAGTCAGCTGGGAGGACACGCAGGCAGAGGAAAAGCATATTAGAACCCAAATGTCAATAGCACAGAGTGTGAGTGATGAATGACGAATTGGCGTGGGAAAATACCCGATAAGGCAATCACATAATTAGATAAATAAATCTGACGTATAATATGGAAAGTTCTGCATTTTCTACAGGGAAGGGAGAGAGACGTTTCATTTTCATTTGTACAAGCATGACACAATCGTATAGCATTTACCAAACATTCATTGATGTCATATTATAAACTACGATTTCTCTGAGGGTGTTCCGTATTCCAATAATAATACTCTCAAAATGCTGTTCACCGAAACATTCCGAGGATCGGGGCTGCGGGCAATAGTGGAACGTTTGATTCCTTTATTATATCACTTATAAACTAGTATCCATTCTCTCTGAACTTATCCGTCATATTGTCAAATCATCAGTTCGCATAACGGATAAGGTTGATCGGGCATTCCCGTCTCGCGATTAACCGAGTGGCGAATACGACAGTTAATTATTTTCTTACCAAGGCCCAACTGATAGTTAATCCACCGGTCGACATACTCTATCGATGATTAGTATACATGACTCGGTCTAGAATCGTAAGTGTGAAGAGCATATATTAACCGATGTCTATCTAAGCTTAGTCACGACGAGGCACTTTCAAATCATAAATGTTGTGCTGTTAATACTGAATTGTAAATTCAACCCCGCTCTGGAATTTTGATCGATTTAATACAATGCAGAGTAAACGCCTCATCCTTTATTTCCGAAATGTTAAAAGTGCTACTTGAAAAGAGTGAATTGACGGCTGTTGTATTTAATGACGTAATGATAACGCCATTATGCATACAGCGCATGGTGGAGAAAAAAGAACAAAGAGACTCCCTGAATGTATTACATAATGTGAATCGTGTGATAAATATTTATAACAAGTTAGTTCCATGCACAATACTTTGTTTACACAAATGGACGGGGCATTGTTATTTGACATGCGAGAACCACTAATCTTTCCACGGTTTGTGAGTATAACAAAAAAATTTTTTTATAACACAAATCTCAATAGTATGCATCAAAACATGCGGGGACTTTAACTTTTGTGTGCAAGAAGATATCCGCAGGGGTTCGATTATTGACCGAGGCGTTTCGATCGTTATGGCTTCGCGGGTACTCCCAACCAAGTCTTCTTTCTCTTTTCAGATTGAGAATGAACTTATGCGAAAGGATAGCAAAAAAACAAAAGTTAAGAAAAACGATATCCCGGGACATTTTATATTGGTTTACTGCTACGGTCGCTAGTAGTTCTTTAAATTATTAGTATACAAACTATAAATAGTATTGGAAGATCAGTTTTTGTTTGTACTCACATGCTATTACAGTATTAAATTGTAGTTGCGCAACAGAAAGTTCCCTACATACCGAAACGAATGGCAACAACCACATCATTCAATTATATGCATGGGAAAATACTGAACTGTTGTGATTGTCTTTTCGAACGATTTCCTCCTATATAATCGGGCACATTTCAAGTACCCAATAAGACATCATTTATTTTAGCTTTAAACGGTTAGTAATCTCTCCTACTATACACGTAGACTGCACTTTTACGAATAAAAAATTGTCACTCCAACTCATTGTCAAAGGATAGATAGAGATGAGCAGTAAAAATGAAACAAAGGCGTCCCAAAGACAAAGAAGAAAACCTTACTTCAGAGAGAAGAAGTTTGTCCAGTGTCTCGCAAGCTGAAATATGTCTTTTAAAAGAGCAACGTGTGTTATCCAAGCACAATCTGACATTGCTGAGCTTGATCTAAATGCCAGTAAGGCCTCTGTTGGAAGAGGCTCTCGCTCTTTGACGCTAAAATTAAAGCCTCTAAAGATGGTTAAACCGTTACCGTCAGATTTAGGGCCATGTGGGTAATCGTGGGAACAAAAATTGACGTGTGATCTTCATTGCAGGCCCAGCGCCGTCCACGAGTCTTGTGTTCATTATCGACCAATCTAATATCAAGGGTATATGTTAATGCGCTCGGTATATTTTGTGTGTGAGATGTATTGGGGGGAAAAACGATTAGCATAGCGCCATCTTATTGATCAGGCACATGCATAAAAAGGCTGGATTGCTGTTCGGCATTGTCGCTGTTCGGCATTGTCGCTGTTCGGCTTCAACATGGAGAAATGGAGTTCTCAAGTAAGATGACAGATGTACCATTGCTCAAAACATTCCTACTACTTACTATCGCCAATTCTTACTTGATTATTCGTATGTAGGAAGACGCTGCTTTGATTACTCTTTACCTTATGTACGGCCCCCAGTGGGTAACGATCTCCCGTATCTTAGAGACCAAGTCTGCTCATCAGTGTTCAAATAGGTAAGCGTGTTGACAATGTTTTTTTTACATCACCCCATCCGTTGTATCTTACGTATTGACATGATAAATTACTACAACGTTGATACAGGTGGCAAAATGCACTGCGCCCTGGAAGTATGTAACTATTCAAATCATTATTTCATGCCGTTCGCCATGCTTATTTAGAATAAATAATAACCCTTTCTTCATTCCCTAGTCAACAAAGAGCCATTTAATACCTTCGAACATGATACAGTTAGTCAGCAATACCGTGTTCATGGCCCCAGGTGGGCGAGGATTTCTGCAAACCTCCCTGGTCGCACTCGAAATATGGTAAAAGCCAGCCGAGAGGAGATGCAAGCGGAAGAAGAAAGTATTCGAGCGAAGATGTCAATAGCTGGTCTGCTAAACTGAAATCCCCATGTGACACGCCTGGTGATGTAAACATATGCACATATATGCTTAGATGCTCATGCATTGTAACCCGCATTGTGTTACATGTCAGATAATAATTAATAAGTATAATTAAACCGACATATCTCCAGCGACTATGGTAATACTGTAATACAGAACATAAGCTTCAATATGGATCTGGCATATGATTATGGAAATACGTCTTGCAATAATAATAATAAAGCTTTTCCGTGGTTGTAGTTACCCACAATCTCTGTTTGACACTGCAAGCCGCAAGTTTTTTCTCCTCTCCTCATTAACCTTCAATCATAGGCATTGACCAAGTTGCGAACTGTTTTGCCTGCTTTTAAACAATAAAATATTGATCTCGAAACAAAGGGTTTTCCATCACTTTTTCATTCGCGGTACATGCCATCGTATTAATTACAGTTATGCGATAGAAACAGCCCTACACAAATGGGACAGAAATAAACATTTTAAATGCTGATCTAATTGATTATAAACCTGCAATCAGGCAGAAGAAACAGCAACGAGCGAAAACTCTATTATTGAGAATCAATAATCTTCTTATATTGACCATCCTTCCTAAAGAAGACGAGATTTTAGTTCTTACTTATTGGTATTAAACCACGAGCTGACTATTTTGAGCTCTTATCAACCATTCGTTCTTTAAAAAAGTCTGCAGAATTATAATGGTCAGTTTCAAACTGGAATGGCCGTACATATTTGAACATAAGTTTTTTTGTAATGCTGGTTCACATACTTTGCATCTGTATTTAATATCATGCTTTTGACAGTCCAAAGAAATGTTCTTTGTTGTGTAATATATCTTCAATGTTCGAAACAACGGAACTACGCCATCTGCTAACTCATGAGCGGTTAAATGTCGTTTGATCTCCTGCATTCGAATCTTGGGCATTTGCTTCTATATAATGACACTTGCATAGCCTTGCCGTTCACTTCAAGGACTTGCTCCCAAAGCACGCCTATTTCCACAATCATGGAGACATGGAGCTCTCAGGTATGATGCACGTCATAAAATTGGCGACGTTTTGCCTAATACACTAAATACAGCAAATGCTACTATTACTATCCATCCCTTATTGTCGGTAGAAAAACTCTGTCTCTACGACGTGCCTTGAGTAACAAGTCTGCTCAGCAGAGTTCTAAAAAGTGAAAGTGTTGATGTTGTGTTTTTACATGATATCCGTTGTATCCTACATATTGACATTATGAATTACTACGATACATGTATTACGGCCTGAAGACATGATTTACATATCGCTACAGCTCTCGTTTTCAACTGTTATTCAGAATGGTACCTTTCTACTAGTCAATGGAAGACCGTTCTACTACCTTTGAAAATGATGCGGTTAGGTCCAGGCGGATTAGAATTTCCGACAATCATCTGGCGATATTAATATATATTAATATATAGATTAGATTGATAATAATAGGTGTGACGTAATATGGAAAGAATGCACAATTATTTTCTACAGAGAAAGGAGTGACGTATTTGTACAACAGATTAGAATCCACAGAATGTTCCTCGGACGAAATATCCTCGTTCACTCCCGAAGAAATTGGAAATTATGTTTGGAAGCAAACGAATACAATACAAAGCATGGCATAATTATATAGTATATACCTAACTTGCGCAGTAGAATTTTGAAAATGTTCGATCCCTTTATTATATCACTTATAAACTATCCATTCTGAACCTATCTGTAATTATCAGTTCGCAGTTATATTTGCCTCACTAAGTAATTTTTGGTAATAAAAAAGTTGTTTAAAGTCGGAGGCTCGTTTGGTAATATTGTCAACATTGTTCATAACGGATCAACACATTATACATCTCTTACCAAGACCCCAACCGATAAAATACCAAGTTGATCTACGACCAAGAATTTTTCCTACTCTAGGATAATAACATCGATGATTAGTGTACATGACTCGATTTAAAACCCTATTTCAAAAATCACTAACTGTTGTCTACGATGAAATAAGCCACGCACTTTCGAAATGGTAGTTAAACCCTTAACCGAGTCAAGAGTCATTACGCTCTCTCGTGACCATTGAGTCGACATATTAACCATGTACGACAATTTGTATTCTTAAACTAAGCCGTTACGCGTAAATGCATTGACCACCTCTCTCAGTGTGCATACAAACAAAAGATCAAAAAACGTTTTGTACCGACTACACATTTCATTTCGTAGAACTGGCTAGCCTATGATCTGTTCAAGTACTAAAGTATTTTTCATTAAATTAAATATCAAGCAGTTTAATAAGGCAAATATAATTAAATTATGTAGCAGCAGAATTAATATTGCTTATGTTATATCGTGTTACTAATTCACTGTACCTTTCCGATTTGACACACAACATTGACATAGGCGCGTAAAATAGTAGCATAAAGTATAAGTAGTGTGTTGAAATAATTTTAGAAAATAAAAATTCAAAAGATCAATCAAAAGCATGAACCTGTATCAGGAAAAATTGACGAAAATGTAATCTAACTTTGTTCAATCAAACTATAGTCTTCTTCATTATCAGTTTATTGAATAAGTGTCATGTAACGTACAAGAAAACACACGCAACATACCATGGAAATTTTGGAGCAGTGCTACAATAGGTTTTTGACCGAATACAATACGATACAAAGCACGCCGAGGATACAAAAAATGCGAGTGGGTTCCAAAACGCAAATCTAAATAGGGGTAATTTATTAGAATCTGCAGAACAAAATTTGGAAATGTTTATTTTTAGATGGTTCTACCATCCCCTATTACTATGTTACATAACTTTATGGATTTTGTCGTAATGCTACACATAAGCGAGTGCTCGCATAATTTTAGCGTCTTCCGTAAATCTATTTAAACAATTAGTGACTTTTAACAGGGCTTACTTTACTCACTATAGATGGCTATTTAATACTCGAGTTATCCGACCACTGGGATAAAAGGAGAAAGTTTCCTAAACCGAAATGACCAATTAAGTAGAAACCCTGTGCTGACTGTACACGATGGCAAGTAACCAATGACCAGAAAGCGGTTCTAACGCTAATAGCAATACAGAACTGGGCCCCCCGTATCGGTGCCAAATTCGCTAAATTTGGCAGTTCATTGAATAACAGTAAGAGCTTATGTTCCCGATTTGGTACTTTCTATAATTTTGTGTGCCAGATCATTACGCTGTATCACCAGCAGAAACCACGTTATTAATAAAATAGTAGCCATCGATGACACCAGCTCCATCATATTGAGTGTTCCTTGCAAACTGCTTCTTGTCTCTTTTCGTCAATATGGAAAGTCTACCATTACGTTTTGCAACTGTAGCTGCCTTATGTTCTTAATTCAAATCCTTCAGTCGTGTATAACAGGTTGTCTGTAAACGTATAAATTTACCACTTATTATACAATATACTTATTTATTGATTGTTGTTTATGTATTATAGAATTTGTATCGTTATATAAACACGGGATCAAAACGTGATTTTTATGTAATAAATAACGCTTTTGTTCGTTATTGTGGCGAAACTTTTCTCCGGCATTTTATAGTACAGCATATTTTGCATACAAACATAAATTATCATTATTATCAGAAAAAACATTATTATTGGTTATTATGACCTCTTAGTTTATAAAATTAGAATGGACCAATACCAGTATTTAAAAATAAAATTAGAAAAATATTGATTTTGTTAAAATAATACTGCACTAATAATACTAGTGTCGTGTCAACGTTCCGTTGCAACTTGCATATATAAAAAGAAAGTTTTGCTGTTTGCTTTCAGCGTAGACTATTGTTTACAATTATGGTGTGGAGCTCTTCAGTAAGATGACATATGTACTATGCACATAATTTTACTATTACTATTGCTATTTCTTATTCGCTTATATGTATGTAGGAAGACACTGCCCTGGTTGGTCTTTATCGTCTATACGGTCCGCGGTGGCTAGATATATCACGAATTTTAGGCAAGTCTGCTCATCAGTGTTCACACAGGTAAGCGTGTTGATCATGTTTTTAAATAATATTTGTCGTAATATTGTCGTATCCTACGATTTGACACAACGTTTATTATGTTAATACAGATGGCGAAATATACGCCCAGGAAGTATGTAGTCTTTCAAATTTACGTGTTGTTACAACTCTATTTTTACATCGTAATAACCATACCACCTTTCATTCTCTAGTCAATACAACCCCGCTTACTGCCGTTGAACACGATGCAGTTAGTCGGCTGTACCATATCCATGGCCCCAGGTGGGCCAGGATTTCTGAAGAACTTCCTGATCGCACTCGGACCATGATTAAAAATAGCCGGGAAGAAAGGAGGACAGAAGAGCAACATATTCGGACTAAAATGTCCATAATTTATCTTTTGAATTAAGTTTATGCTACAAGTATTATATGAATTAAGATATGTAGATATACGTTAAATTATGGCAACAAATTAAATAAAATATGTATTCAGCGTAAATTATAAATGTTGTACCCTAAGTATCATTGCTAATGCTGAATGGTAAGTTCAACTTTAACCCTCCTGCGCTGGAATTCCGATCCATAATAGAATCATTGTAATACGCTATTAATGCAATGATATAATGAAACTTTTGCTACCTGAATAATATTTACAACTTTTTTGTTTAAATTTGATAAAGGTGATAAATAAATCAATTTCCAATTAACAACGCTGAAAAAATTTTCCCCGTAAAGTATCTTTCAAATAAGTGCCAAATTAACATAAATATTATTGATAATGTTGTGGGTTACAATTAGCCTCAAAATAATATCTACAAATGCGAAATGGGTCAACAAATTTGTAGACCCTGCCATAGTAAATTAACAATTTGAAAAAAGTCTGATACCGCAAATTCATTTATCATGCAGAGTAAACCCATTATTATTATCCGCGAAAAGTTATTATGAAATGTTGAGATATATCTTTCTTAGTGAATTGACCCAGCTGTTAATAGTATATTTGTGTTGCAGCGTTTTTTTATATTTATATTTATGACGCAATAGTGACACCATTATGACACCATTATGCATAAATGCATACATTATTTGAGGGAATTATGCGAGAAAAAAGCTATGTCGAATATACTATATTAGTAGCACTAACTTAGTTCTTCGTATTATTAATTTTGATTAATCAGCTGAACGGTTTGTATGAACCAATAATACCACACAAGCTCCTCCCATGTGGGTGCTCAGACTGGAGTGGGTGTCAAAGTGTCATAAACGTGGTGATAGCTAAGAGCTATTTCAAAGATTGTTAACTGCGAATTAACGACAGTATCGAACTGGAGCAGCTCCCGAAGCACAATATGTTATAACAACTTTAGCGATGGTATGTTCAGAAATATCTAGCATTTGTTTACGCAATAAACAGAGTTTGACATTTGTTTACGGGATGATATCACAATAAAAAAATTGTTTTTATACATATCATCGTTATTGGGCAATTATATAATAAGATCATTAATCACATGATTATGGCTAAAGCTAATACTGTAATACTGATGAAACACAATGCAGAGACCCGATTATTGGCGGAGAAGTCGTTTTTAATATTGTCAGCTACTCTACTCCGACGTAAACTGCAAATTTTCAGATTGGGAATGGACGTATAAGAAAGAATAGCTGGTTGGCGCAAAAAACGGAAGCCTACGCCCCGGGTACATTTTATTGATTCTTCAGATTTTCAGGAGTATCAGGAGGTTGTATTATTTGCACTACACGTTGTAGTTATGCAACAAACTTTCCCTGCATACGGGTAAGGAAATAGTCAAACGAATAGCAACAACCACATCATTTCCTGTATGGGGAAAATAATGATTGTCTTTCGAATACGATAGCTCCATTATACTGTATTATTTATTTTAGCTTTAACCGCAATTATATAATAGCTGCGCACTTTCTCGAATTAGAAAGATTGTCACTCCACTCATTGTCAAATCCTGCTAAGGCGCTTAAGCACCCAAATCTCCAGCCATACCTGGTTCGATGGTAGACGAATCGGAGAAAAAAGGGCAATTCATGGTTATTAAGAGACCGTGAAGTCGTAGATGCAGTAGTAGTAGTCATCCGTCCATACTGTGCAACTGCATGAAGACAGGGGTGATGTCCGAGTTAATGAGTTCCTGACTCACAACCAACCAACTAAATCTCCAACCAGTTTCTCCTCCACCAACATGCCCCCTTCCGCAACTCAGAGACAATACATACCGACAACAGCAACACCCACATACACCACTATCTTAGTCATACACAAAGTGCAGTTAAGTTTTTACTGGTGGCTAGTTTCCTCAATTGGTAGCTCTGGTTTATGTCTTGGTAATCATAGGTAGATAATAGAAGTAGGGCATATACGGTATATAGAGATTATTTATCTAATCATGTATCTTTTAGTAGATTTTTAAGCTCTATGTATTTTTATAATTTATGTACAGTATATGTAATAAATAGCTCTTAGTGGACTGTAAATTCATTCAAACGCTGAATTTAATGATATAGTACATTACAAGACTTACACACAGCGAATACAGGCTAGCTCGAGATAATGAAATTCTCGCATTAATAGTAACTTATAGTACTGTAGATTTTATCTCGACATAACAGAATATATAAGTTCGATTTAGAATAAAAGCATTAAAACTGAGAGAATGAACAGCATGAGACAAAGGCGCCTCACAGAGAAAGAAAATCTTAATTCAGATAGAAAAATTTTATGTTTTTAAAAAGAGCATGTCACTCGAAATTTCGAATTAGGATACATGTATTGTTAATGTACTACTTTATAAATTTATTATCTTATTCTTATGTATTCAAAACAGCTGTAGCGGTCCACCGTAGCTGTGCCAATAAAGGACCCACTAATACTAAGTCAAGAGTTACATATTCGGATGCTTTTTATCACGACGTACATACACAATCGGACAGATTTTCAGTTCTGGTGATTCGAATAGTTTATACTGCCAAATATAAACGTGCACCAGAAACTGTTGTACTCAAACGGTTGCGGATTTATGTTTTGCCAAGTGCTTTTACATAAATTGTGATTGAGAATAGTGTAATGCAGTTATTTAAAAAAAAACAAACTTGTGTAATTTATCCAGCCGCATGTTACATAAATTATCTATATAATATGCAAGTTACAATAAAAATTTAGAGCGGGAAAATTACAGTGCTTTAATACAGAAAACATTTTGATGCAAATGCCCGATGTAGCGAAATTTATTGATGAATAACTAGTGGTGACAGTAAAATGTACAGTATAATGTTATCAAGGGGAAGAGTTATTTCTCTACGCTTTTACATTTCGGTAATTAATAAATAACTAATTGATTTAGTCCCTGTGTTGCATCAAAATTTCCCGTGATCTAAAATTTGCTTTTAGCAAAACGCGATAATATAACGATAACACGTACTCTCTCCACAAAATGGCTTCCTCTAGTTTTAACGCACCAGCTGAAGAGCTGACAATGCTTATCCTCTATGTGAAAAACCACAAGAATGAAGGAAAAGACATCGATGAGCTGGATGACGACAGGAAACGCTCTCGTGACGCATACTTCGAGCTGTGGGTCAGCCACGCTCTTGGTAACGACCCCACGAATGCAACCCTGTTTCGAAACGAATACAACAACAGTGGTGACGAAGGACGTAACAACGCAGTTGGTAACATAAGAACGTACTTCTCGCATCAGAACGTTGTGCAAGCTGTTGCCATGAAAATGGGGTTGACTCTGCAAGGTAAGCAATGCACGTTGTGAAGTAATAGGGGTTCTTAGAGTAGCCAAGGGGTCAACAGAGGGAATAGTTGGCATGCATTACAACACGCGCCCTGGGAAGAGCGCATAGTAAACGGCATTAGAACACACGAAGTCATAGAGCAGCTATGGAGTTACTTGGAAATTGCACGTCTGTTCGAACGACGGAAGGAATCTGAGGGAAAATCTGCGGGTTCTGCAAATTCGCGTTTTCCATTAGCTGTTTTTTCCTATCGCACTACACTAATATTTCTTTTTAAATACGTTATAATAGATCGGGCTGGACAAAAGCGTAAGGCGGAGAATCTGGACGTTGTAACAGCCAAAAAAGCCTTCACTGACGAATTTGTGCACGTCAATGGGGTCATGAACGAATTCGAACAACATATCAAATACTGCTTACATACTTGTAACAAGGATCCGGTATATGCTCCCTACTTCGCTCTGATCCAGAGTTCAGGTTACGGTAAATCACGGTTGATTGCCGAGTTGGCTCAAAATACATACGTCATCTACATATGCTTACGTTCAAGCGATGCCCATGGATATCCTCTTCACACCAGTGTTGCAGACCGCCTCGTGTCAACTCTTAACGTAATGCAAAATGAGGAAGGCGCCCTTGCTGCTATTCATTGGTTTCAGAAATTTCTGAAGGCATCAGTTACTGTACTTATTGAAGAACTTTCAGCTGGACGTCTTCTAGGACCAGCTCAACTGTGGGAAATGCAAATGAATCCAGTTGACGAAAAGGCATTCTGGGTTAAAGTGCTCGAGAAAGCGAATTCTGATTCTGAAGACAGCCACACACCCGAAGATATTCCTCACCAAGTCGAATCAATTCATGGTCTAAACCTCTTTCTCTGTTTTGATGAAGCACGGAAATTACTCGATGTGGAGCATGGAACTGAACTATCACCATTCAGACTAATTCGTCGCTCTCTTAAGGACATTCAATGGGCTCAGTATGGATTTTTATGCGCCATGCTCGATACAATGGGAAAGTTAGCTAACTTTTCCCCTCCGTATAAACGCTCCAATTCTGAGAGAATTCGTGATGAAAGAGTCAAGCTGCTTCCGCCGTATATTGATGTTATGACGCTGGATGCTCTTAACAATAACAATAAGGTAGCAGATCATCCAAATCGCCGCTTACTGTTTGGTAGGCCATTGTGGGCATCGAGTAGTTGTGCAGGGAAAACTATTACAGAGATAATAGAATTTGCCAAGTGCAAACTATTAGGGGGACATCAACCAATACAACGAATAGAAATCCTATTTGACAAAGAAGAGGATAGAATCGCCGTTTCTCTGGCCCTTGTAGGCTGTTTAGTCTCACTGGACATTTCAGTTCAGTCACAGCTTACTCATCTACTTGTGGGTAGCTATATGGCTACTTGTATTGCTGTTTCAGAAGATAGAGAGAATATCTTAGTAATATATCCCTCGGAACCTATACTTTCTGAGGCCGCTTTGAGGCTTATTGAAGTCACGGATAATCGAACATTTGTACTTGATAGACTTGAATTTTCATTGAAGAATGGACTTGTTGAAGCGGGTTTTCGTGGGGAGCTTGTTGCACGCATTATATTGATTCTTGGATGGCAACATATGTTATTATTATCTGGTGATGCTCTTTATACACAAGAGAAATCTGTGAGAGATTTTCTGAACACACTTTTTGGGACTTATCAGACTCTTAAGCAACGTGACAACCGACTTAAATCTTTAAAACTTAAAACAACTTTTCTGCAGTCCAAACTGTGCCTCACACATTTTGTTCAGCTTAATGACCCGCCAAGTTGCCAAGTTCTTAAACGTCTCTTTGAACGTGGTGCTGGGGCGATTTTGGGACGTAATGCACGTGGTGGTGATCTTCTGTTGCCAGTCAAGATGAACAATACATCAGAGGAGCAGTATTCATTTATCCTGATACAAGTAAAGAATTATTCAACTTCTGGGCAGGCATATACTGAAGCAGCCACTACAAGATTGACACCATTTTCAGTCTTTGGGGAATCTGAATTAGCTAATCTTGATTTGCCTTATTTGTGCTTTTATTGGTCATTAGGTGCAACTGAGAGTAATTCAAGGTTACAATTTAAGTCTTGGGAAAACTTTGAGCAACACTGGGGAGTTTTCTCATTAGATCCATTTAAATTTCTTACTGAAGATCTTAAAACCAAATTATATGCTTTACTATGTGCATATATTAATCCATTTGATAGTATATGGAAGCGCAGACCAACAATTGGTATTGAACAGCATAGGGCAAATGTCAAATGCTTCTTTCCAGTTGAGAAGATTCAAAAATAACTAGTATATATTTGGCTCTTATACTTAGGCATGAAAATAAAATTATGACAGTGATATCTGTAAAGTTTGATAAATTAAGCCTCAAATTAGTTGTTGATTGAATGAATGGTAAACCAATTTTAGTAAAATAAAAAATTTAATGTATTATGGAAAGGCAAGACAAAGAATGGGTGATGCTAAAGTGATGTTGTCCAGCAATGCTTATTACGATGAAATGGTAAGTTTTGATCATAACTCTTTTGAAAAACAAACTACAAAATGATAAAATATATATATAGGACTATCCGTATATGAATAATAACGAATACAATGGTTCCACCGAATACAAAAAAACAATCCGTTTCTTAGTTAGGTTGCAATTATGGTTGTTCAAAAAAGATTCCGAGAGAAAGGTTTGCTGAATTACGTGAAGCGTTTCAGCTCTCTCTAAATCCGAACAAGATATATTTTTAATGGCCCAGTTGAAGGCGATGAATGGCGGAGAAATAACTGCCAGTCGACGTCTTAAAAAGAAAACGCGTATAAAAGAACTTTTTATTATTGAGATCGCAATACGCCGCTTTGTCAGCAAACGTATCTTAATATGTAGGGAATTGGTCGCACGCACTTCGAAAACGTCAGAAACCATCTAGCAGCGAATGGTATAATGCCACGTATTCATGGTAATATGAATACTGCGATGGAAAACCAAAATAACCATTGATATAACCGTTGCTACATCTGTGAAAAACTTTCTCGAAAACTATGCGGAAATTCATGGACTACCAAGTCCTGGTAGAAACGTCAACCGAATTACTCAATCGCTTACACTTTTACCAGCTGAAACAGGTTACAAATCGGTTTATCGTGATTCGTATTCTAGGATGATAACATTGATAATTAGTGTACGTGACTCGGTTTACAATCGTAAGTTAAGGTGTGAAAAAAAGGTCATTAACCGATGTCTAAGCTTAGTTACGACGAGGTGGGCACACGCACTTTCGGAATAGTAGTTACTGTAGGATTAAATAGTGATCTACAGGAAGCGTATACAATACCGATAAAAATTGTGAGTAGAGTAAGCCCTGTTAAGGTCACTAATTGTTAAATAGATTTACGGAAGACGCTAAGTCTCAAGAATGTTATGCGAGCACTCTCTTATGTGTAGCAATACACAATTGGACGAAAGTTATGTAACACGGGGGGATGGTAAAGGTCATCTAAAAATAAATATTTCCGAATTTTGTTTTGCAGATTCTAATAAATTACCTAAAACCACCCATTTAGATTTGCGTTTTTGAAACCCACTCGCGTTTTTGGTATCCTCGGCGTGCTTTGTATCGTATTATATCTATTGTGGTACTGCTCCGAATTCCCTTGGGTATGTCGCGTGTGTTTTCTTGTACGTTACATGACACTTATCCAATAAAATGCTTTAAAATAATACAGTAATAATAATGAAGACTACATTTTATACATTTTCCTCAATTTCTCCTGATACAAGTTCATGCTCTTTATTTGATATTTGAATTTTTAATTATTTCAACACTCTACTTATGTTTTATGCTACCATTTCACAGACCTATGTCAATATAACACTATATAACATACTTTGACATAAGCAATATTAACTCTGTTGCTACATATCTTAGTAATATTTGCCCTATTAAACTGCTTAATGCTTAGTTTAATGGAAAGTACTTGAACGGATCATAGGCTAACCAGGGTCTACGAAGAAATTACTGTACATGTGTCGTTATTATTATATTGATACAAAGCGTTTCTAAATTTGGTTATCCACATTTTTGTTGATGCACACTGAGAGAGGTGGTCAAATGTATTTACGCGTAACGGCTTAGTTTGAGAATACAAACTGTCGTACATGGTTAATGCTGTCCCGAGAGAGCGTAATGACCCTTGACTCGGTTAAGGGTTTAACTACCATTTCGAAAGTGCGTGGCTTATCTCGTCGTAAGTGACCTTTAACATAGGCTTTTAAACCGAGTCATGTACACTAATACTAATCATCGATGTTATTATCCTAGTAATGTGAAACAATTCTCGACTTGGGGTCTTGGTAAGGGATATATCATGTGTTGATAATTAATTATCATATTTGCCACTCGGTTAATCGCGAGACAAGAATACGATCAATTTTATTCGTTATGGAATGATGTTGACAATATTACCAAACGAGCCACCGACTAAACAATTTTTTATTACCAAAAATTACTTAGCGAGGCAAATATAACTACGAACTGATGATTACACGATGTAACGGATGTGGATACTAGTTTAATAAAGGAATTGAACATCTTCAAAATTCTACTGCAAGTTAGGTAAATACTATACAATTATGCTATGCTTTGTCTTGTATTCGTTTGCTTCCGAACATAATTTTCAATTGCTTCCGAGATGCTCAGAGACCGAGGAATATTCTGTGGATTGCGATAATTGCACAAAATAGAAATGAAACGTCACTCCTTTCCCTGCAGAAAATGATTGCGCCATATGATTGTGTACAGTTCGATTTGCGAGCCGCCGCTTAACCGCATCATTTGCAAAGGTAGTGAACGGTCTTCCATTTGAAAAAGAGTGGCGATAAGTAAACCATATCTTCAGGCCGTAATACATTCCGCCACCTGTATCGTAGTAATTCATCATGTCAATACGTAGAACGGATATCATGTAAAAACACAACATCAACACTTTCACCTTTTACAACACTGAGCAGCAGCCTTACTTATTACCTAAGACACGGGAAACGGTTACCTATTGGAGACCCCGCACATTATAGAGATCAATACGACAGAGTTTTTCTACCGACAATAAGGGAAAGATGGATAGTAATAGTAGCATTTACTGTATTTAGTGTATTAGGCAAAACGTCACCAATTTTATGACGCGCGCATCATATCTGAGAGCTCCGTGTCCCCATGATCATGAACTTTGGGAGCAAGTCCTTGAAAGTGAACGGCAAGGCTATGCAAGTCTCATTATATTAGAAGCAAATGCCAAGATTCGAATGCAGGATCAAACGACATTAACCATTCATGAGTTAGCGGATGGCATAGTTCCGTTGTTTCAAACATTGAGGATATATTACACAAGCAAAGAACATTCTTTTGGACTGTCAGTGCATCAAAAACATACAGATGCAAAGTATGTGAACCAGCGTAATAAGAATAGTTTGTTCAAATGTGTACGGCCATTCCAGTTTGAGACTGACCATTATAATTCTGCAGACTTTCCTAAAGAACGAATGATTGACAAGAGCTCAAAATAGCCAGCTCATGGTTTAATGCCAATAAGTAAGGACTAAAATCTCGTCTTCTTTGGGAAGGATGGTCAATCTAATAAGACTATTGATTCAATAGAGTTTTCGCTCGTTGCTGTTTCTTCTGCCTGATCGGTAGGCTTATAATCAATTATATTGGCATTGAGAACATTTATTTCTGTCCTATTTATGTAGGGCTGTTTCTATCGCGTAACTGTAATTAATGTAATGACATGTATCGCAAATAAAAAGTAATCTTGGTTTGATCTTTATTGTACAAAAAACTTTGTTTCGAGATCGGACCCATACTAATATTTTACTGTTTAAAAGCAGACAAAACCGTTCGCAACTTGGTCAATGCTTATGATCGAGATTCGCCGGCTTGGTTTGAAGGTTAATGAGAGGAGAAAAGACTTGCGGCTTGGCAGTGTCAAACAAAGATTGTGAGTAACTACAACAACGGGAAAACTTTATTATTATTATTGCAAGATGTATGTGTTATTACAGTATTACTGCTTTCCAATAGTCGCTGGAGATACTCATTATTAATTGTACTTAGTTATTATCCTGACATATTATTGGCACAATGCAGGAGCATATGGGCATATATTTACGTCACCAGGCGTACATTCTTGACATGATAGTTATTCAGTTTAGAATACGAGCTATTGACATCTTCGCTCGAATACTTTCTTCTTCCGCTTGCATCTCCTCTCGACTGGCTTTTACCATGTTTCGAGTGCGACCGGGGAGGTTTGCAGAGATCCTAGCCCACCTGGAGCCATGAACACGGTATAGCTGAGTAACTGCATCATGTTCAAAGGTAGTGAACGGTCCTTTGTTGACTAGGGGAATGGAAGAAAAGGTACGTTTATCGTTTATTCTAAGTAAGCATGGCGAACGACATGAAATAATGAGTTACTTACTTCCAGGGCGCAGTGCATTATGCCACCTGTATCAATGTTGTAATAATTAATTATGTCAATACGTAAGATACAACGGATATCATGTAGAAACATTGTCAACACGCTCACCTATGTGAAATCTGATGTGCAGACTTTGTACCTAAGATACGCGAGACCGTTACCCACTGGGGGCCGTACATACGATAAAGAGTAATCAAGGCGGTGTCTTCCTACATATGAATAATTTGGCGGTAGTAAAATCATGTAAGTATTAGGAAGAGTTTTTGCGGCTATTGTAGTTTGTTGAATAATGTCACCTGCAAACTCCACTTCTCCATGTCGAAGACGACGACAATCCGAACAGAAAGACAATTCAGCCTTATTTATATGCTTGATCAATAATATTGGCGCCATGCGAATCGTTTTCCCCCAAATACATCACCCATAGCAAAATATACTGAACAAAAAAGAGGATAGCGCCTGCAAGACTTGGCTTGGTAATGAATGCAAGATCTGCGTTCTACTAATATAGCCAAATGTAACCCTGCAATGAAGATCACAAGTCAATATTTGTTTCTCACGATTAGCCGGTACACATGCCTTAATGGAAAATGGTTTACCCTAAATGAGACGATCTGACGGTAACGGTTTAACCATATCTTAGGGGCTTGTTATGGTTATTGTCAAAGAGCGAGAGCCTAGGCCTTAGTGGTACTTAGATCAATGGGGCATGCATATGTGTCGTTTAACGCAATATATAATTGTTCACACTATCCAGGCGCTCAGCAATTAGAAGACATATTTCAGCTTTCGAGACACCGGACAAACTTCTTCTCTCTGAAGTAAGGTTTTCTTCTTTGTCCTTTGTTTCATCTTTATTAACTTATGCCGCTAAAATTCTCTCAGTTTAATGCATTTGTTCTACTATATTAAGGTGAAATCTATTATATTTAATGACGAGGATACCATTGAGAACGTTCAGTATGTAGGGAACTTCTATTGCGTAACTACAATTTAATGGTGTGTTAGTGCAAACAATCCTTTCGCATATTTCCGTTCCATTCTCAATCTGAAAAGAGAAAAGAAGACTTGCGGTTTGAATGGGAGTGCCCGCAAAGCCATAACGACCGAAACGAATCGACCTCCTGCAGATATTTTTTTGGATACAAAAGTTGGGGTCCCCGCATGTTTTGATCCATACTATTGAGATTTTGATATATTAAAAAAAAAAACTTTTTTTTTATTACAATCAATCTTTTATTACAGACGTGGCTCTATAGATTAGTGGTTCTCGCATATCAAATAACAACGCCCATTTATTTGTGTTTAACAAAGTGCTTCGGAAGCTGGCTCCAGACCTTTACCGCATCGGTCTTTGACTCCAGTCTGAGCCACATGGAAGTTACTTGTTATGGAATATTTTTATTATTGGTTCATACGATTTCCGAATACCGTTCAGCTTAAACAGTTGAAGAACTAAATTAGTCAGACATTACCACATTGTGTAATACATTCTTTGTTCTTTTTTCTCGCATTGGATAGCGTTGTTATTACGTCTGTACGACAGAATTAGCAGCTGTCAATCATCTCGAGTTTTTTTCATGGTACACTTGTAACATTTTGGAAACAAGGATGATTCATGATAAATATATTGTATTACAATGGGTCGAAATTCCAGATCAGGGGGATTGGGGCTGAATTTACGATTCAGTATTAACAACGCTACTTAGGGTACAACATTTGCGTTGAACACTTATTTATTTAATTTGTTGTTTATTTGACATAATAATAACCAACTCGATAAGTCGAATTTGGCGAAACCTCTCAGCCCCCCCCCCCCCCCCCCCCTTTTTTTTTCATATTTACTCTCGTTAAGCTGCAAGTTGGACCACCTCTCCAGACAGAGACTAGTAAATGACTCTCGATGAGTGGATTCACGTGAGAGATTTTTACTATTCATAACATATTGTCATACTCATTAGCCCCCCTGGATCTCCGTTAAAAAAATATATTCACTCATTAAAATAACAACAGATAGATACACTCCCCCCTCACAATAGCAAACAATCCGCCACTTTCGGGCTTTTATTCTCTTAATTTACTAATGTAAAAGATAAAAACAGCATAAACTGGGCTTTAGCGAGCACCTCGTTGTGAATAAAAGTTCCTCGCAATAGTCATACTCATTAGCCTTGATTTAAAGAAAATGACATTATTATTGCGTCATTGATAATTTTGCTATTGTTTGTTTAATAATTTAGAAAGACTTTTAAAAAAGGTTTATCTCATTATGTCATTGATTACTTTTGATAAATTTGAAAGACATTTTTGTATTAAACAAATTGTTTATACCTCGTTATATCATTGATAGCGGTTTAGAAAAGACGTTTTTGTAATGTATTGTACGTAATAAAATTTTCATTGATAATCTCATTTTGCGATATTTTGCACTTCGAAACAATGCTGATTTCCCATTCCTAGTGAAGGCCAAGTTTAAATGCATTAAAATGTGTTATGATGAATCGTCAAGTCGGTGTCCGACTTAGTTTCACACTGTGTATTGTTTTTTCCATATTAGGTAAGACAAATTTTTAGTTACCAAAATGGTCAGGGGCGATGGACTTTAGGTGAAGGGACAACATATTAATATATTCTATTACGTAACAGATTTCGAATGCCTAAAGCAGTTTTGTTATCATTGTCTATCAAAACGTTACCTTTATCCCTTTGTTAAGAATATGATTGCCTCTGAAATAAATAATATTTTTTCAGTAGTTGAGATTAAACGGTCAAATTTTAAATCTTGCTTTTGAATTCTTTTTCCAAATACAATGAGCTTCTCGTGACTACAATGCAAACCATTAGGGAGTACAATAATGCATGGGTTGGGGAAATGAATGTGGCTTAGTAACATCCCGCCAATGAATTTTAGTGGGGTCAAATTAACACAATAGATGTTGCGGAGGCGTAACGTATATACTGTATCGCGCCGAAATTTATGTACACTATCAAGCAAGTGAAGCTGGCAAGAGGCAGTCCTACTTCAGTCATAGAGACCATGACAATACCGATGCCCTATTCTTCAGAACTACAGGGTAAATGAAGCATCAATTCAACTATTGTTTCCCGATTAAAATTTAACTTTGAACACGATGCAGTTAGTCGGCTGTATTGTATCCGTGGGCCAGAAACTTCCTCGTGATTGAGAAGAAAGGAAAGCGGGAGAACCACGTATTCGGACTAAAATGTCCATAACTCATCTTCTGAAATGTTATTATGAAAAACTTGAGACTCATATCCTCCTTTGGCTAAAGAGTAAATTGACAGATGTTAATTCTTTTTTTTTAGTTTGTAGTATATTTCTTCGGCTTTTCATTTTGATAAGTTTGCGCTTTTTGTTGTACTTTATAAGTATGACGTAATAACGCCATTATGCATAAATGCATGCATTATTTGAAGCAATTATCGGCGGCGAACATAAATGCGAGAAAGAAATATATTATGTGGCATTAACTTAATTCTTTATACTAATATTAATTATTAATCAGCTGAAGGATTTGTATAACCCAATAATATCACACAAGCTACTCCCACGTGGGTGCTCAGACTGGAAGAGGTTAACGTGGTCATAAACGTGGTGATAGCTATAGAACTATCTCAAAGATCGTTAACTGTGAATTAACGACAGTTGGAATGCTTGAGTTTTTTTGCAAAAATGTGCGAAAAGGGAGGGAGAAGCCTAATGCAATATTCTGCATTGTAAATGCAGCACATTTACACCATGAATGCATGAGATCATTTTTCAGTTAATGGTCTGCGAAATTAATATGTGGTCGTTTGAATGTCATAACAAAATTTATTTACACCGTATTATTTTTTTTCAAAGTACATGACATTTGCTACAAAACCGCGTTTGAAGTTTGTTAATAATGGTTGTGGAGGTATTAATTTTCTTCGTAATGCCCTAGTTTATTCATTGAAGTCGGGTATACGTGAACCTGACCGTTTACATATTAAACTTTTGCAGGAATGTAGCTCAATACAAGCGCAAACTATGGCCATGAACGACAATTGTATTCTCAAACTAAGTCGTTGCGCGTAAATGCATCTGACCACTTCTCTCAGTGTACATATGTGGATAACCAAATTCAGAAACGTTTTGTATCAATATACGACCATATAATTTCTTTGTAGAACCCGGTTAGCCTATGATCTGTTCAAGTACTGAAGTATTTCCATTAAACTAAATATTAAGCAGTTAATAGAGCGAATATTACTAAGTTGTGTGGCAACGGAGTTAGTATCGCTTATGTCAAAATATGTTATATAGTGTTACTAATGCACTGTACTTTTCCGATTTGACATACAACATTGACATAGGTGTTGAAATAGTTTTTGAAATAAAATTCAAATATCAAATAAAAAGCATGAACCTGTATCAGGAGAAATCGAATCTGATTTAGGTCAATCAAATGCAGTTTTCTTCATTACTATTATTTCAAAGCATTTTATTGGATAAGTGTCATGTAACGTACAAGAAACACATGCGACATACCCACGGAAATTCGGAGCAAGTGGTTTGACCGAATATAATGCAATAGAAACACGCCGAGGATGCAAAAACGCGAGCGGGTTCCAAAAACGCAAATCTAAATAGAGGATGGTTTTGGGTAATTTATTAGAATCTGCAGAACAAAATTCGGAAATATTTATTTTTAGATGGATGGCCTTTACCATACATAACTTCCGTCCAATTATGAATTTTGCCGTAATGCTACACGTAAAAGAGTGTTTGCATAACACTTGAGATTTAGCGCCTTCCGTAAATCTATTTAACAATTAGTGATCTTTAACAGGGCTTACTTTACTCACGATGTCTATGTATTGTATACGCTTCCCGTAGATTACTATTTAACCTTTGAATTATTCGACAATTATAATTCACTGGGATAAAAGTTTATCTGAATTAAGTTTCTGCTATACAATATCAAATATATGTTACGACTATGACAACAAGTTAAATAAAACATGTGTTTATAAATGTTGTACCCTAAGTAGTGTTGTGAATGTTGAATGATAAGTTTAACTCCAACCCCCCTGCGCCGAAATTTTGATCCGTAATAAAGTTATTGTAATACGCTATTGATGATATTTTGTTTAATTTGATAAAGGTGACAAAATAAATCAATTTCTAATTAAAAACGCTGAAAAAAGATTTTATGCAGAGTGAACTCCTTATCCGTGAGACGTTAATAACAGTTGTTATGAAAAGCTTGAAACTCATATCCTCCTTTGGCTAAAGAGTGAATTGACAGCTGTTACTTCTTAGTTTGTAGTAGCGTTTTTTGTGCTTTATAGTTATGGCGTAATATATAATACGCCAATGCATTTGAGGTAACATTAACTTAATTATTTAATTATTCATATTAATATCATCACACAAGTTACTCCCATGTAGGTTGGGTTAACATGGTGTCAAAGTGTCATAAACGTGGTGATAGCTATAGAACTATTTCAAGATAGTTAACTGCGAATTAACGACAATATCGAACGCAGTTTAGGCCTGGAGCAGCTCCCGAAGCACATTACTTTATTAACAACTCTAGCGATGGTATGTTCAAATATATCTGACATTTGTTTACGCAAATAAACTGAGGAGTTTGACATTTGAATGAGATTGCATATCACAATAATAAAAACTTTTTATACATATCCTTGATTTCAATGGTACGACAAGAAAGATATCTGCTTACAAAACTTCTTTAGTCACATGATTATGATTATGGTTAAAACACATGGCAATCCAATGCAGGGGTCCCGCCACAAATGTAGTTCTTGACAAACGAATAGCAACAACCAACATCATTAAACTAAATTTGATTGTCTTTTCAAAATTCAGCTCCACTATACTGCACTTACTATTACGAATTAAAAATTATCACTCCACTCATTTGTCAAATCCTGGTTCGAATCGGAGAAAGACGGGCAAACCGTGGTTATTAGGAGACCATGAAGTCGTAGATGCAGTAGTCGTCCCTCCATACTGCTGCAACTGCATGAGATTACACTACCACTAAAAAAAACCCCCCACCGGTTTATCGAGTTTATCGGTTTGCGAGATCTATATCACATGTGTTATTGGTTTTACGAGTATATTTCATTATAAGTGTTTCGGTTTTGAAAAAAATCTCGATTTTGCGAATTATCGGTTTCCGAGTATCGGGTTTACTGGAAATTATCCTCTGTTAGAAGAAGGCTCTCGCTCATTTTAGCCGTTACCTATTTTGGTATTGTGTTATATGTCAAACTTTTTGCGGAGCTGATTGTATTTGTAATACGAACTATGGAATAAGAAAGTCTTACCGAAAAATACGTTCAGCTAATTCTGCTTTGTCATGCTAATTCTTTCCTCATTAACCTTCTAACGACTCTCGATCATAAGTATTGACCTGTTTTGTGGCAGTTAAACTATTAAAATAGGTTCGAATCTCGAGAATGGACCAAAGTTTTTTGTGTAATAGAGATCAAACCAACATTACTTTTTGTTCGCGCTACATTCGTTTATTGCAGTTACGCGATAGAAACAGCCCTACATCTCACTGAACGTTCTCAATGCCTAATAACGGAACAAGTCAAACGAATATAATTGATTATAAGCCTATCGACAGTATTAAAGAGCACTCTATCAATGATTATTTCGTTCTTATTATATTGATCACCCTTCCCGAAAGACGAGATTTTAGTCCTTACTTCTTTATAATCTCGTCTTATCGGCAATTAAACCACAAGCTGGCTAGAAAAGTCTGCAGAATTATAATGATCAGTTTCATGTATGTCACGTTCAAAAATGGAATGGGTGCAGGTTCACGTGCTTTGTATCTTATTCTTTGTTGCACTGTTTTAATATGACTGGCACAATTTAATAGGATAATTAGCTATCGTGTTAGATGATATAACATCATTTTGATTACACGTGGCCTACCCGGTAAAACAGAATGTTCTTGCTTGTGTAATATACATCGCCAGTGTTTGAAACAACCAAACTACGCCATTGCTAACTCATGAACGGTTAATATGTTTGATGCATTCGAATCTTGGCATTTTGCTCTATATAATGAGGCTTGCATAGCCTTGCCGTTCACTATCAAGGACTTGCTTTCAAAGCACGCCTATTTTCACGAGCATGGGGAAATGGTGCTCTCAGGTATGATGCACGTTATAAAATTGGCGACGTTTTGCCTAGATACACTATGCACTAATACAGTAAATGCTACTACTACTATTCTATCCCTTACCATTATTATCGGCATGTAGGAAGACTCTGTCTTAATTGATCTCTACAACAGGCGAGGTCTCCAATGGGTAATGATCTCCCGCATCTTGGGCACCAAGTCAGCCCAGCAGTGTTCTAAAAGGTGATCGTGTTGATGTGTTTTTACACGACATCCGTTGCAGCCTATATATTAACATGACAAGTTTACTACGATACAGGTGGCGGAATGTATTACGGCGTGAAGGTATGATTTACGTATCGCTACAGTTCTCTTTTTTTAACCGTTATTCAGAGTAGTACCTTTCTGTCTAGTCAATGGCAATGATGCGGTTAGGCGGATGCATCATGTCCACCGTCCCAGGCAAACTAGAGTTTCGACAAGCTTCCCAGATCGAACTGCAAACATAGCCAGCCGGGAGGAGCTGCAGGCAGAAGAAGAGCATACTAGAACTCAAATGTCGGTAGAACGCTTGCTGTGTGAGACTCGTACGCGTGACAAAAAATAAAGATACCCAATTAAGACAATCATATGGTGATAGATTAGATAAGATCATGCATTAGTATTAGTATTATTAGTATGGTTGTAAAAGAATAAATATGACGTAATATGGAAAGTTCTGATGCACAGACTATTCTTCGTGACGTTTCATACTGTTTTGTACCACTATTGGAACTTGTCGCTATTCATAGAATGTCCTCGGAAGAAAGTAAAGATAAACAGCCAGAGAGTGAAACACCCTCGCTCACTCCTGAAGAAATTGAGGAATTATGTTCGGAAGCAAATGAATACAAGACACAAGGCAATGACTTTTTTGGGCGATCAGAATATGAACAAGCTATAAACATGTATCAAAGGGCATTAGACGTCTGTCCCTTTGAAAAGGCAAAAGAAAGGGCCACGTATTGGAATAATCTCGGAGCATGTTATATGCAATTGGTAAATACATGAACTTTGTGATGTCATTGACAAGACCTTTATGCTAATTACTCTATCAATAGGGCAAATACAAGGATGTCATTGATGCTTGTACCAAAGGTAGGTAAAGGACGGCAGCATAAACTCTTTGGAAATGCAAATGACTCGTACAAACGTTTCTAAATGCTTTGCGTGCTTGTCGTCTGAAAAAAAAAGCTTTGGCAGATTGTCCGACGTATACGAAAGCATTACTTCGACGTGCTCAAGCAAACGAAAAGATTGGTGGGTTCAGTCCATTGTCGAGTGCATTAGAAGGTATGTTGTGACTAAAATTGGGCAGCGTGGATTTCCTGATATGCGATTAAAGCGTTTGGAAAACCCTCCCCCCCCCTTTTTCCTTTTCCAATTTTGCAATTCAAAGACTACAAGATGCTCGAGTCCGACCAAGAACATCAGAACAACCTCACACCACAATTACAGAGAACCGTGTTTAATTCGATTAGATCGCTGGAATATCGAGTAGCCAAAGCAAAAGAGAAGGAAACGGCCGAAATGATGGGAAAACTCAAGGATCTTGGTAATACGATCCTTGGAAATTTCGGTCTATCGACTGACAATTTCCAGTTTGTTCAGAATGAGGAAACCGGATCATACAACATTCAATTTGTAAATAATCCAGGGAAAAGTAGCAAGTCTAGTGGTGATGATGATGGTGGTGGTGGTGGTGGTAGCAGCAGCAGTAGGGGAGAAAACTCATGAGCCTTAATATGATTTCGGGGACCCATTTCAATAGACGCTTAGACGATTTAATGTTAATTTTGCTACAAAGGTAGCTGTAGATAATGAATAAATAAACTTAATGGACTGTGTTACCATGTGTTACGATGCACAAATACACGTCGAGAAAAGTGTTCATCAAGCCCTTTGCTATTTGATCTGCTTTTTTCAGCACTCACCATAGCTATGGTAGCCGAACGGACATCATTCCTTGAGAATCAACCAAATCGAGAAGCGGCTCGACTAGCTCTCGCTTTGAGAGAAACTAGTGAGCATGCTACGATGAATTATCGAGGGTTTTACGTTTCGGCTAAACGGTCGATTGTCAAAGAGGTTCTCGAGGCCATGGCTTCTGGGTTAGACGTGTCAACACTGTTTAGTGATATGTTGATGGTAAGCAAAGGATTGCGATTAAATCCAACGAAATGAACTTGGTGTTTTCAGCTGGGCTCACGAGAATTTAATCACTTGATAAAGGCCGCATCAACCAAAGATCTTGTTCAAAAGAAATTGGTATACATGTACATTTCAACTCAAGCCTCTCAGAACGCAGAATTAGCCATTTTGGCAATTAATACCTTTCAGAAAGATCTCAAAGATGATAATGCTGTTGTACGTGGTTTAGCGCTTCGGACCATATGTTCGATGAGGTAGCGCTATTTGGTCCCATGTTTGGTTTGTTGTTTTTTCAATATCCGCAGTAATTATTGTATTTACACTATGTTCCGGTGTGTATTTCGATCCGTTTAGGCTCTCAAACTATGTGGAATTTATGGTTCCACCGTTGACTAACGGTCTAACCGATCCAAGTGCATATGTGCGAAAGATAGCCGTACTTTCATGTGTGAAATTATACCATATCGCTCCCGAGCATGTCGCAGGTATGCAAAAAAGTTTCCCCATCATTTGGCGAGGTATCCATTTGTTCACTATACGCAATTTACCTGTACGGCCTCCTCGCTGTTATATATAACTCTTATGTAGATGGTGATCTCATAGAGTCTCTCTATAAATTATTAAGCGATGACGACACCGAAGTGGTGGCCAATTGTATCTCTGCATTAGACGAGATTCTAAGCTCACAAGGAGGAATGGTTATCAACAAGGGTATAGCGTACAGCTTGCTTCATAGATTACTTGACTTTAGTGAATGGCATCAGTGTTTGGTACTTGATGTGCTTATACGATATAAGCCAGATTCGGATGACGAATTATTTGAGATCCTGGTTAGTATTTCTCAGAGGTAACTAATCGCAAAGCGGTACATGGAACCCTCCCCCCTTAATCGAGTTTACAATAGAATATTCTAGACGACCGTTTGCAACATCATAACTGCGGAGTTCAGCTTTCTACCATAAAGTTATTTCTACACTGGACAGCAGATATGCCAGAGATACAAGAAGATATTTATAAAAGAATAAGAGGTAGTGTTTCTCTAGTGTAGTGGAGGCATGTCGGTGCGATTATTCGCAAACTCGGTTACTCATTCCTTGGGGTTATGGTTAGACCCGCTGGTGTCATTTCTCTCAACAGGAAGCCCCGAGTTGGCTTACGCGTGTCTCGCTCATCTGCAACTGCTTACTGTACGTGCGCCGAAAATATTAAGTGCGTACAGCAAACATTTCTACCGTCGGTAAGACCGCGATTTAAAAGACTAGTGTCTACACAATGCCACACTACTGACATATTCATCTCTTTTTCTTGACAGTCTCAAAGATCCACCTTACTTGACATTAAAAAAGTTAAAGCTTTTAGAGACTATTGCGGATACCTCATCTGCAAAAGAAATCATCGATGAAATCAGGTTTGTGATCTGTGCTGACACTTTTTTCGAATTTGCCCTGTTTTCTTGATAACGTCGATCAATCAATCATGATTATTCAATCATTGGAGTCTATCATAGTGGGTATATTACTGGTTCTGATGAAGAGATTACGCTAAAGTCGATTGAGACGATTGCCAACATTGCCGTGAAAGTACATGACGTGATGGATTATGCAATAGAATTATTGCTTAAAATAATGGAAACTGAAATAGAGGAAGTTGTTTCAGGCACCGTAACTGTATTAACAAGTAAGGAATGAATTGCGTTGATTGTTGGGACAGGATACATATTATTCTCGTGCTGACGTCTATCATTGAACGCTCTCTTAGCGATTCTTCAAAGCAACAGTACTATTACTGCCAAGCTCCTTCTTTTGATTCCACAAGTCTGGCCTTCCATTTCACTCTCAAGTCCCGCGGGTCCTGCTTTTCTTCATCTCCTTGCCAAGAATGCGAGAACCCTCCCGGAAACACCATACATATTGGAATCCTTGATTAACACGTTGGATCAATATCCGAATCCGTCTTTCCGTATCCAATTACTTGATGCTACCGTCGCCGTGTTTCTCGAACGCCCCGCAGAGTGTCAAAGTATGCTTGAAAGACTGTTCAAAGAGACCATGAGAAATGAAGAGTATATAAATGTTCAGGAGAGGGCTACGTTTTTGTATACTTTGCTAGAAAGTGATATAGAGACGGTAAGTGGTATGAATAAATTTTGTAGTGTATGCAAACTTGTAACTGATATATAACTTTTTCCCCATAGGTGAAAAAAATTCTATTGGATGATGATGGAGAGCGTCTTCCGGGAATAATAAAAGAGTCTGATGAGAATAAAGTAATGGCGATATTAGCATTTGCTGGGTTTTACAGTTATTATTTGGTAATCAGTTGGTATCGTAAATTTACATTGAAATTTATTATTTAGGAAGCCCTCTTTACAGAGTTTAGCACGCTCTCCGTAGTGTATGGCAAGACATCAACCTACTTTATTGATAAGGATCAAATTCCGCAAAAAAACAAGGACTTTATCTTTTTTGTGCCTCCCGCTGACTTCATGTCTGATGTGGATAAGGTTGTTTTAAAATTTTTTGTTCGATTTGTTTTAATGTTATTGTTTATTGACGAACCCTGAATACACATCAGTCTCGGGTGGATTTTGCTAGCAAGTACGCACTATCAGCAACTACTTTTATAAATGCAAAAGAATTTAAAGCGTCATGGACAACGTTCAAAGAGAGGTACTTTTTTTTTTCCTTTTAATATGGTATCTTCATTGATTATACTAACATCTTTGCGTTTACATTTGTAGTCATTCACTTAGCCTTCCAATTCCAAAAGCGCTAGTATCATCGATAAACTTGGAAACACTAGAAAAGACTTTTGAACAACATTTTATATTCACCATAGCTTCTGGAGTCTCAAACAATGTACCTCGATTGTTTGTATATGCCACCGAGGTAAGGCGTTGACGTTAAAACACGACGCCTGCCTGTAAATTCTGACTAAAATTTTATCTTTAATTCTTTAGGTGCTGACTACAACTCTAATGCTCTGCGAAATTAAACTCGACCTTGAGGCATCTAAAGCCAATCTAGTCGTGAAATCCAATGAAAAAGACACTAAAGAGGTTGTCGAATTTTTTATCAAGTGTATTAATAACATTTTCCAATCGCTGGTATAATGTCAAAAACTACGAACAATTTCATTCATATTCATATTCATATTCGTTAGAAACGTTATTTATCATTATTTAATAGACAATAATCTGGGTTGACTGCACATATCACAGAAATTGTTGTGCCATAAATAATTGAGGAGACTTTAGCGAGAGTTGTTGAATGATAAGTATTGCATGATTGAGGACTGTTATTATGTTGATTTTCCGGGTAGAGAAGCATTTGTGCTGGAGCACTGGGACATGAGAAAAATTCTAGTGCACATTCAAATATATATTTACGTAAATACACTTGTGGACATTCATCTGGATTTAGCTGAACTCGTATAGTAATAGTGCTCATATACAGAGAGGTTGTTATGATAAAATAAAAATAAATTTAAACCTAGACAGGACATCTTTCTAATGGTTCCAATTCAAGACCATGGATGGTGATCCGTAAGTACTAGTCATCGTCTTAAAAAAAGAACGCGTACTAATAAGCGAACGTTTTACTACTGACATCAATATGTTGGAAACTTGGCCTTCAGTTAAAAATAAACCCATTGATATAGTCGTTGCTACCGCCGAGAAAAATTTTATGCTGAAATCAATGGATTACTGTATCAAGTCCCGGTAGAAATGTCAATCGTATTACTCAATCATTTACACTTTTACGAGTTATAAATCGTATCGCGATTTATTGCAGGTCTTGAAAACGAATGATTGTTAAATATGATGCATCCCGCAAGTTGTGGCACCAATTATTCAAATTCCAAGTCCGAGAACGGTTCGTGAGATAGAAAAAAAAACGAAAAATTTTTATAACATTGACAGAGTTATCACTAATATGTGTCGGAACGGGCTTAACTACTTACGCGCCATTGGGATTGATTTTCAAGAACCATTCTTGCTTGTGTTCCCCGATGACAATGCGACCTCGCGTACAGTATAATGCTCGCAAAGAAGAAAAAGCATTGAAAAAATGCAAAGAACATCTAGTTAGCTTGGGTTAGAAAAAAAAACCAAAAAAATTAGTAGATAAGCATTTTATGTTGTAGTGTGGCTTATTACTGTTGCCTCAGTCCACGTGAAGTGCGTTTGTTTGTGTATCAAGTTAGAAGACAATTTATTTATACTTTAATTAATGGTTGCACTCTTGCAAACTTGCCACGTTGCATAACCCGCCAATCCAAGATATTCTATTTATGCAACTGACAGGTTGTACGATAGCGCTTTGGAGAAAATAAAAAAGGGGTTTCAACGCTTTTTCCCAGTCTGTATCTGTAATTATTATACTGTAGCCTTAAAGTAATAACGGGACTAAAAAAAATGCTTCAAAAGATGCAATTAATTGGCTTCAAAAGTGTATAAAATTTATAGTAACTAACGTGATCGAAAAAAATCACTGATACATTTTGGTAGTTTGCCGGGATAGCTTGGAAATAAAGTTGTATTAAATCGTACTTTGTCAGGGTATATGTAAGAAGTAGGAAGCATATCATATTTAATTTATTTAATTGTAACTATTGGATAGAGCTTGAATACCGTAAACAAGCCCGCTGAATTAAAAGTCTTCAAAAAGAGGTTGAGTCTCTAAATACAAGAAATGCACGGTGTTAACATTAGTAAATTGACTTTATTTGTATCAACATGTAAGTCGTGACGTTACACGTGGGAGAGCGATCGTGTAACCTCCTTGAGATTTAGCGTCTTCCAACGGCGTATCGGCAGCG